TCGTTTAGAGTAGACATGTTCGGAGACGTATTGTCTATGTGTTAATTGTTTCGTTAATTTGCTCTTTTATGTTTATCCTCACATTACGAGAGTTAGTGAGGTTAAACCGCTAAATGAGTTAGTTAGTTGAACCACTTAACCGAGTTATTAATTGCCGTTAAATGTGTGAAGAACCGGAAGCGATTATTCTCGATATCCTAGCTCGTCTATCTTTTTATCGTTTATATTCTTAGGTAGATTATCGTCTTATGTTATTTCTTAGTTGATAATTTTTTAACCCTATCGAGATTAGAATATGTAGGATTTATTTTGCTTTTATGTGTTATCGATATCAATACTAAATTCCGAACCGCCTTCCGCAAGAGATCGACCCGGGAAACGAATCATTCGATTCGGTGCTCGATAAAATAAAAATAATTTTCTACAACAAGAAGATCTTAAGGTGATATAAATCGAGCCCTTTAGATCTCCTAAAATCCGACCAGATCCGTCGCCGTACGCCGCCACTGAAAATTGCCGCTACCGTCCGAAGTCGCCGGAAGCCGCTCGCGCCCAGCCGCATGCAGCCAGTCGCTACCGCAAGCTCCGAGCGACACCAGCGCACGCCCTGCTCCGCCCGTGCGCAGATGTCGTCCTAGATCCTCGTACGCCGTCGCCCTGCCGCGTCAATTTGTCTGCCTGCCTGCACGTGCCTCCAGACGCCCGAAGACCTCGCGCATTGCCCACTTGCCTTCTTGCGGACGCCGCACGCGCCCGACACGCCCTGTGCACTAAGCCCGCAGAACCCCAGCGCGTGTGTTAGCTGGAACCCGCGCCAACAGTACCCTGCTGCATCGCCTGTCCTCGACCGACCGCAACCAGGCCCGACCAACAGACCCGACACAGAGCCGCAACGAACCCGACCGAGGCTAACCGAGTCCAGTCGCGGCCTGACCGAGCCCAGCCTTGTCTGACCTACCCGAACCTGACATGTACTTGACTTGGTGACCTATTCGTGATCTGACGACCCGATTCTGATCAAGGAAGTCTAGTTCGGCTGCCCAACGGACTCTGCGGTTCAAACGATCTCCTACAGAGGAAATCATAAACGTCTCTGTAGTGCCCCGTTCGATTTATAGAATTTCTTGGATTATTCTATTTATCGACATTTTATTTTATTTTTCTACGCCTTATTTATTTGCATATTATTTGTGCTTAATATATATATTTAAGTGCTAGTTCAATTTATTAATCGTTCGTTGTTCGTCGAATCATTCGGAGATCTTCGATTCAATCACATAGGATAATTTCAAGCATTTTTTTATTATCTTTTGGACTATAGTCTTGGCCCATCATCTCTTGTAATTTCAGCCCTCTTGATGACCCATACACGCGCCTTATTCATGAGAAACCGGCCCAAGTTTGTACATTGTTTAATGTCTTTGGAACCTTTTATTTTTCATTCAAAATTTGAATGTGGAAATCCAAATTTAGGAATTATCCCTCAGCCATTTAAAGTCCCATATGGCCGGTCAAATGGCCTTATTTGTAGTAAAAAATCTTCTTAATTTGGTATGCGCATAACCTTGATTTCTCTCCTTTAAGTTGGGATTTTTCCCATTCCATTTGTCCTCGTTTATACACGCATAAGTCCATTTTTCTGATCCAAATACTCTCCAAGTCCTCTCTTTCTCTCGTTCAAACAGAAGCCACCAGCCCTTAAAAACGCCGCCCCTCTCAGCCCTCTCATTTGTCACCCTTGAAGGGTGACGACCACCAATCAGGACAGTAGACAGTGGAAGCGACTAACTGGAGTAGGTAGGTGTGCCCAGGAGCACATCTTCTGGACGCTGGGTGAGGGGAATGTTAGCTTTTGGGATAATTTGTGGTTTGGGGAGGGTCCCCTGTCGACCACTAGACAGATCATTCACTCCCCTTTGCTGTGGGTGAAGGATTTGTGGACCAATGGGACGTGGGATAGGGAAATATTAGAGAGGATTTTGGGTACTAGAACGGGCTTTAGTGACCACCTTTCAGAGCTAATCCAGCAGATACCCATCTCGGAGGACGGTTTGGACGGTATGAGGTGGAGACTAACATCTTCGGGTGCTTTCTCTACGTCCTCAGCTTAGAAAGAAGTTCGGCAGGGGGACCGGCCTAACCTACTCTTCGGGGATATTTGGACCGACCTCCTTACCCCGACCATCTCTGTATTTCTTTTGGCGCCTGCTTTTACGCCGGATTGAGATTAATTTTGTGGTGCAGGCGAGGGGGGGTCTCTTTCCCCTCGAAGTGCTATTGTTGTATCAAGACCGGTGACTTCCAGATTGAGACATTTTCACATTTGTTGTTAAAGAGTGAGGTTGCAAGGAGAGTGTGAGAGCATTTTGCCTCCTATAGTTATATACCCCTTCCCACCACAGACATTCTATTTGTGCTCCCGAGTTTTTTGCACAGCGCACACACATTAGACATGTGGGCTTCTAAGTTCCTTGTCTGATCATGTATTTCATATTGACATAGAGGTATAGTGCGAAGCATAGGGTTATTAATTTCATGAGTTCTCACATTGTTTTGCAGATCTATCGATATACTTCCCTCCTCACTGCTCTGGGCAGACTCACGCCTACAGATTGGACAAGTTGCATGTAGTCCCCATGTTTCATATTGCCTCCACTACCGCCTGTCCAGCACCCACGACCCAAAGTTGTTGTTTGGCTGAGAACTGACCCCCTTTGGTCAAGCTGAAAATCGATGGATCCTCTGACCGACTCCCATGAGCCGCCAGGAGAGGAGGTCTGATCATGGATCACACCGGAGCTCTTAGCTTTCCATGCCCCTCTTCGGGCTTCAAGCTATGACGCAAAGATTCAAGCGCTCTAGATCGGTCGCTAAACTGCTTCAACTATCTCTAATCACATTTGGATTGAGCTGGATATTGCCACTGTCGCCACCCTCTTGACCTCGGGCCACCAGGGCTCGTGGCAAATACAACACCCACTCATGTGCATCAGATCTGCACTCCAGTCGGTCCGTCAGCAGATCTCGTACATTTTTTTAGAGAGGAACCGCCCCGCCGAATTCCTTGTTAGCCTTGGGGCCTCCACCCTCCAGAGGGAAAATTTTGGCCCTGATGATGCCCCGCTTCGCCTCCGCACCCTTGTACGGATAGACCAAGACGGCTACCCCTTGATCAGATTCCAGTAGCCTTTTAGTTGTTCATTTTTCTTCTTCTTTTTAGACCTTTTTTTAATTTTTTTAGTGTTATTCTTGTATTGCAGACCCTTGGTGGGTCAAACTGCTCGACTGGACTCCTTACAGCCCAAGTTCAGATTCCCCTTTTGTGTAGACTTTGGTTTTTGGTTTTATGTATGTGGATGGTCACATGTAGACCTTGTAAACCTTCACCCTTTTAGGGTTTTGATTATGTACAAGTTGGGGATCCCGCCTTAATCCCCCATTCTTTGGGGTGGTTTTTTACAAAAATAAAAAAATAAAAAAATTCACGTCTTTGTATCATAATAGTTTATCGCATAGTGAGATCACACTTGCTTTATTATCTTCGCATGTGTGTCGCATATTTATCGCATAATTATTTCGCACTTTATCAATTAACTTCTCTTGGTTGTCGCATAGTTGTAGCATGATGACATCGCACTAGCTCGATTATCTTATCATGTCTGTCGCATAGTGTATCGTATAATTATTTCACACTTTATCAAATAACTTCGCCTATCTGTAGCGTGGTTTATTGCATAATGATATCGCACTAGCTCGATTATCTCTCACTTACTCAATTATCTTCGTCTGTCTGTTGCATAGTTTATCACATAAGTAATTCACACTTGCTCAATTAACTTCGCCTGTCTGTTGCATACTTTCTCGTGTAATTTGTTTCGCACTTGCTCAATGAACTTTGCATGTCTGTCGCATAGTTGATCGCATAAATAATTTGACTTTCTCAATTAATTTTGTTTTTAAATTGCATGATTTATAACATAATTATCTCGCACTTTACTCAACGAACTTCACTTGTGTGTCTCATATCATATCGTATAAATATTTCACAGTTTATAAAATTTCTTCGTATGTGTGTCGCATAGTTTATCGCATAATAGTTTCATACTTACTAATTATCTTCGCCTGTCTGTCGCATAGTTTATCATATAATGTTTCACACTTTATCTATTGTCTTTGCTTGTTGTCACATAGTGTATCACATAACTATTTCGCACTTTATCAATTATCTTTGCATGTCTGTCGCATAGCTTTTCGCATAAATATTTCGCACTTTATCAATTATCTTCGCATGTCTGTCGCATAGCTTTTCACATCAGTTATCTTCGTCTGTTCGACGCATAGCTTATCGCGTAATTATTTCGCACTTTATCAAGTATCTTTGCATGTCTGTCGCATAATTTTTCGCATAAATATTTCGCACTTTATCAACTATCAATTATTTTCTCCTATTTGTCACATAGCTTTTCGCATAAATATTTTCTCGCTTTATTAATTATCTTCACCTGTTTGTCCCATAGATTTTCGAAATAATTATCTTTGTCGCATAGAATTAATTATCTTTGTCTGTCTGTCGCATAGTTTATCACATAATTGTTTCACACTTTACCAATTGTGATTGTCTTTTGTCGTGTAGCTTGTCCCATAATTATTTTGTAGTTTATCAATTATCTTCGTCTGTCTGTCGCATAACTTATCGTATAATTCTTTCCCCACTTTATGGGTGAAAAAATTAACTTATCATTTGACGATGTGTAAAACTTATTTCGTCTTCATGGAGATGTGACAATAGTTATTTCCTCTATTAAATTTTAGTTTTTCATGATCCTATTAGTTTAAATTTTTATGTTTTAAATTATTCATTTAAATTTAAACAAAAAATTCAGAGTAATTTAAATTAGAAATAGTTCTAAATTTAAGGTGACATTGTACATGTACTGGTCCATATGCAAACATTGGGGCCATAATTTCATGATTGGAGGATTGGTGCATTAATAAGAGTACGAAGAGAGAAACAAAGATTTTATTAATTAATAAGAACGTCGTGTGTTCGTGCAACAAGACAAACAAATTGACGTTTATGCTCCGTCTCTCTCCTTTTCTATCTCTCTATATTCAACATCAAATCGTTTTCACTTTTCAGAGATAATTTCTCTTACCATCAAAACCAGATCCTTTAGTCGCTGTTGATCGGATAGCATTAAAGAGACAGAATTTCTAGATCTTGAACAAGGATTCGCATATGCAACTGGTACGAGATTTATTTCTTGGTCTACGATCTATGGACCAAATTAGGAATGCCTGTTTTTCCTTGTTTCGTTTGCGTTTAATATTTTGTTTGATAGATTATTCATTCTCATTTGCTTACCAACTCTAAGTGGTGAGGTGTTTGTTGTTGTTGATGTGGTTTGTGTTTGTGATGAATCCTTGCCCAATTTATGTGGACCTTACATACTCTAGCTACTTCTAATACTAGTTTGAGTTGCATATGTTTAAATCTTGTCAGTCGGTGAATGATTAATTTGTTCGATGTTTCCTTCCGTGTAAAGCTAATGTTTTACTTGATTTGAGGTCTTTTGACTGTGGATACCTCTGGCAATGTCATGATTAAAATAATCTGGGATCATTGTGTATATAGATTTCCCCCATCGTATTTTACTGATATTTTTTTGGTTGAATTCGAAGCAAAAGACAAGTCTTTTATGTCTTTGACATCTAGATTCGCTTCGTGTGCGATGAGTCACTGTACAGACCTTGTTTATATTTTGAGTGTACCTTACTCAAAGGCACATATGACATGCACAAGCAGCCTCTGACCATCCAAGTCTGAGAAAATTCTTTGCTGCGTCATGCGAGAGCCATTGCCGGCTTACTATTGTTAGCTTTGAAATTACAAATAGAATCAAACATAACAAAAATCGAGTTTCCGAATGTGATCGATCTGTCACTCAATTTGCAAATATATGCCATTTCCTGCTGTTGCACATTGATGATATCAAATTTGTCATAAAGAAAACAAGAAAGAATAGAAAGGCTGTCCGAGTCAATCTACTCTGTCTAACTCCTTTCATAAATCCTTTCAGGCCCATTATGGCGAACAAGTTCAATTCGTCCGACAGTAGGACAAGAAGCTCCGTCTCTATATTCATAGTAGCCGGCCTCTGCTGTTTCTTCTACCTACTCGGAGCATGGCAGAGGAGTGGCTTTGGAAAAGGGGACAGTATAGCATTAGAGATGACCAAAAGTGGAGAAAACTGCAACATCCTCCCCAACCTCAACTTCGAGACCCACCATAGTGGGGAGGCCGGAATAATTGACGATTCAGATTCAGAAGCTAAAGTTTACGAGCCGTGCCATACTCAGTTCACTGACTACACGCCATGCCAAGACCAGGGTCGTGCCATGACTTTCCCGAGGGAGAATATGATATACCGTGAGAGGCACTGCCCACCACAGGGGGAAAAGCTGCACTGTCTTATTCCGGCTCCGGAAGGTTATGTGACTCCATTCCGGTGGCCAAAGAGTCGGGATTATGTGCCCTATGCCAATGCTCCCTATAAGAGCTTGACAGTCGAGAAGGCTATTCAGAACTGGATCCAGTATGAGGGAAACGTGTTCAGGTTCCCTGGTGGAGGTACTCAGTTTCCTCAGGGGGCCGATAAGTACATTGATCAGCTTGCCTCAGTTGTGCCGATTGAGAATGGGACTGTTAGGACGGCTCTGGACACTGGTTGTGGGGTATGTTGAGTGACTTTCCCTTGTGCTTGTGTTAGGGAGTGTAATACGAAAGAATCTCGAGGTTTTGGCCTAATCACGAAAATAAAAAAATTTGTGACTGTTCTTGAAATATTGCGAATTCTCACATGCTTTGTTTCAATCACCTGTTTTGAGGCTTTGTGTTTACCTAACATTTTATATATATATATATATATATATATATATATATATAAGGGGTCTTCAGGAAGGTATTATTGTCTTGAAAACTATATGGGAATATTTGTTACCAGGTTTAATCGTGGGAGCAGTTTTTGGAATTTATCATTCGTGTTTAAGATATGCAGAATAATTTTGGTTGACTATCTGATAAACTTTCATTTTACATGTTATAGGTGGCTAGCTGGGGTGCGTATCTGTGGAAAAGAAATGTCATAGCTATGTCTTTTGCGCCAAGAGATTCACATGAAGCCCAGGTTCAGTTTGCACTTGAAAGGGGTGTACCTGCTGTCATTGGTGTTTTCGGCACTATAAAATTGCCTTACCCATCTAGGGCCTTTGACATGGCTCACTGCTCGCGTTGTCTCATTCCTTGGGGGATAAATGGTAAGAGGCAAATATTATCTTTTATCTTTCTTTGTCCATTGATATAGCTAAATCTGAATAGCGTGTTCGAGGCTTCATTTTTTTCGTTAATTAGTTACGATCTGGCCACATTTCATGAACAAGGAAATGATATGCCAACGATAATATGCAATTTGTTAATTCCTGTTTGCAGATGGACTATATATGAAGGAAGTTGATCGTGTGCTTAGACCTGGGGGCTATTGGGTGCTTTCGGGCCCTCCCATCAACTGGAAGACCAACTACAAGGCATGGCAACGCCCAATGGAGGAACTTCAGGAAGAACAAAGGAAGATTGAAGAGGCTGCTAAACTCCTGTGCTGGGAGAAAAAGTCCGAGAAAGGTGAAATTGCTATTTGGCAGAAGACAATAGATTCGGCTGCATGTCGTGCCAAGCAAGAGAACTCAGGCGTTTCATTTTGTAAATCTGAAGATGCGGATGATGTCTGGTATGGATAACTTAGTAACAAAATATATATAGTAAAACCTAGTAGTTTCTTTTTCCCTCTTATGGGTGGTGAGGAATAGTTAAGTAATTCAGCCTTGTATGCGATATTTACCAAATACCTTTGAGAAGTTTCCAAACTAGAATAATCTGCTTTGATTTGTCTTTATTATTTACCTTTGTCCGCAAAAAGGATTTTAAAGTCCTTTACCATCTTAAGAAACTATTACAGTTACCCCTCCTTTTGCTTTAATTTACATTTCTTGGTATTTCTGTAATTGCTTTAGTCTCGGATAATTATACATATATTGTCTGGCACGTAATTTGTCGCATATGGATGAAATTGCACAGAGATGCAAATATAACTTGTGTCGATGATTCTTTCTTTCTTTGTTTATTTTTTTTTTCAGGTACAAGAAACTGGAGCAATGTATTACTCCATACGACAATGCTAACGATGATGATCTCAAACCATTCCCCGAAAGGCTTTATGCTGTTCCCCCAAGAGTCGCTAGTGGCTTGGTTCCTGGAGTTTCTGTGGAAGCATACCAGGAGGACAATAAGCAGTGGAAAAAACATGTCAGCGCATACAAAAAGATCAACCAGATTCTTGATTCCGGAAGGTACCGGAATATTATGGATATGAATGCTGGATTGGGTGGTTTTGCTGCCGCACTTCAATCTCCAAAGTTGTGGGTTATGAATGTTGTGCCCACCATTGCAAAGAAAAACACCATTGGTGTTATTTATGAACGAGGGTTGATTGGTATATACCATGACTGGTATGCATTCTTTAATCACTTTCTAGTTCCTTATAAGCATTTTTCAGGTTGGTTGCCATGTACCATGACTGGTATTTGTTCTTTTATCACTCTATCTAGTGCCTTGTAAGCATTTTTCTTCTTCTGTTCTCATCAAGCTGAAACTACTTCTTTGGTGTTGTTACTACTATTCTGGTTCTACTGTAGTGAGTCTTTGATTGTAGCTTGCGGTAGACCATATGTACCTGCAAAAGAGAAAAATTATTATAATGTTGTGATTAAGATATAGCGAGCTGGTTGATCAAACTTAGATCCTTAAGTCATATTGTTTGGCTGTGATGGTCATCTTGAAACATAGTCCCAGCGTTTTGTTGATTACTCGTGTGCTTGACATCTTGTTGTGTTTTCTTGTTTAGGTGTGAAGCTTTCTCCACATACCCTAGGACATATGACCTCATTCATGCTAATGGCGTCTTTAGCTTGTACAAGGACAAGTAAGTTTTCTGCACCCCTTACCTGAAAGGACCTTTTTATTCAGGCACACATCAGTATTCATTTTGTCTAGACCTGGACTTGGCCACCTCTAAGAGCATCTACAATGCATTGGGTCTAGTTTTGCCTATGTGGCATGTAAATAAACCCAAGTCTTAGATGACGTGGATAAAACTATATAAAATTAACAAAGTACATTCCAATGCAAAGAGACTAGGTCTCTACTTGGATCTAAAATAGACTTAAGGGTAGATTAGGTCTCTTTTTTTTGCTGCCACTTCGCAGGACCTAGTCTACTTGCACTTGTATTGGAGAATAATTTTTTTTAGACTGAGTCTATGTCCTAGTTGGCATATAATTTTTTTTGAATGAACTCAGAGCATTGTAGATGCTCTAAGTCGAATCTCTTCTCACCTTGCGTAATTCCAAAGAAAATTTCCACACTTAACGATATGGAATTTTAGAAGTACAAATAGATTGCAGCTTTATTTTACTACTAAAATATACCTCCTTCTGTTCCATAATAAATCAACATGACAATACTGGTTCTGTTTTTCTATGCACTTGAAGCTTTCCATATTTATTTAGTTTGAAAATGAATGAATGCAACAGGTGTGAATTTGAAGACATTTTATTAGAGATGGACCGTATTCTACGGCCAGAGGGAGCAGTGATATTGAGGGATGAGGTTGATGTGCTCGTGAAGGTGAAGAAGATGATTAGTGGTATGAGATGGGATTCTAAACTGATGGATCATGAAGACGGTCCTCTTGTTCCTGAGAAAATACTTATTGCTGTTAAGCAGTATTGGGTGGGAAACTCCACTTCTTCCCACTGAACTGCCAAACAAAACAAAAAGAGAGAGAAAATGGAAAAAAGGTACCTGACTTATTGATTCATATGAATTATTGATGTGGGATATAGATTATTGTAACTTTCCAAGATTTGGGTTATACTGTCTGGAGAGTTCTGTTGGCCCGAAAATTTTGGGGATTCGGCGTTTTTTGGGCTAGATTATTATGCATATTTCTAACTGAGGGTTAGAGTCGGGTAAATTATAAGATTTGTACTGTACTTGTAACACTTGACGCTATTTTATTCCTTTTTTCTTTGATATCCTATTCAAAAAGGTTAATTTCCATTTCCCTTAATAATTTCAAGGTGGTCTTTTGCATATGCTCATTTTCAATGTTGCTAGTTCTTGCTTTGTGGAAGTGTTTTAGCCTGACCAACACAGAACTTGTTGAAATTTGGAATTTATCTATTTGTGTTGCTATTATTTGATTGAGTACTGTCACCGTGTCACGTACTGAATTTCCATGTTTTGAATGGTGTTGAGTTTTGAAGAGCGTTTCGTTGGGAAAAAAATAAAGAGTTTAGAAGAGCGTTTCACTCGGTGTGCTTGCCAATTCAGAAAGGGCACTTTCAAAATTATCGTTCACATGTTTTGTTTATTTGTGTTTTCATTTACTGCCAATCCAGGAAATACTGAGATTGAATATTTTGTTTCTTTTAGTTTTCTGATCCACAAAATAAAGATTTTTTCTTAAAAAAGAAAATGGAAGTGGTCCCATTAGCTACATAAGTTTTTAGATATAAAAAAATGATCTATGTCGAGATTTATTAAAAATAAAAAAAGTAGCATGAAAATTGTATATGAACGTTTAAATTGATTATGAAATATCATTTTGGAATAGGATAAGAAGAAAAATAAAATAAAAACCAAAATTATATACAAATAAACAAGTATATAGTGCTATACAAAAAGAAAAAAATGTGTAATTTTCTTAAAAGGTATATGGTAACGCAAAACACTCCGACCGGCTTGAAATCAGTTTGTTTCCTTCTTCTTCGCCGGTAGAACGCCGCGCTCCTGCACAGAACTCTTACACCGGAGGGGTTTTCCGGTGAAGAGCCTCCGATGCTTAAGTCAAAATGTGTTTGTTCAATTTTCCAAAGTAAAGAATGGATAAATCGTAGGTTACAAGAAAAGACCCACTCCCATATATATAGGAGTGAGATACCTGCCCTAGAAACTGCCCGGCTTTTGGTGAGCTGTCCTGCCCGTACTGCCCGTCCGTACACACATAGTGTGTGTGTGTCAGAGATGTGGGGTGGTTTTCGCCACTATCACTCTGCACCAATATATTCTTGCCACGTGCCCCTCTGAGCTGAGGGGGATTATTCTTCTGCGCAGACCGTTGGGATCTTCTAACGTCATCCACGCGCTTTCTCGCGTTCAAGCCACGCTCTAGACCGCTCTTCACCTGTTGAGTGCTCGATCTCCTCCCTTTTGGTCGATCCTGGATCTGTTCTGTTATTCTGCTCGATCTCCTCCCCTCTGGTCGATCCTCGACCAATTCTGCCACTCTGCTCGATCTCCTCCCTTTTGGTTGATCCTCGACCGGTACCGCTATTCTACTCGATCTCCTCCCTTTTGGTCGATCATCCTTCTCCCAATCCGGTTTTCTCCACTTCGAGGTTGCTCGACCGATGATGCAAGCCGGTCTATTCCTCAGCTATATAATATCCCATATCATCTAGTCCCCCCCACTCTGGTCGAGTCTGAATGACTCGATCTAAGAGTGAATTCAGACTGTCTTCTTCGTTCTACCATCCTCTCGATCTCCTGCTTACATCTAATCTCCTCTGCTTATCTCTTCTGTCGAGGCCGCCACCCTTCTTCGACCACGCGATCGATTTTATGATACGCCTTAAATTGTCTCTTATTCCCTTTTATTACTAGCGTAGTTTCCGCCTGCCATGTGTCCTTTCCGCTCAGTTCCTTTAATCATCGCACCTCCTCGCGATTTGTGCCGCTTCGTTATCTGTACCTCTTTAATTTTTCCTACCGTTGGATCTTCTTTTATCTAACGGTCCTCTCCCCTAACTCTTCACCTTATTCATCTGTACCCCTATAAATACGGTACTTAGCCGACTTTTCAGCTTTTCTCACCTTTGCCATCTTTTCATACTTGTGCCTTAATTTCTCCCTCTGCAAACTGCGCTCCCCTGCTCTTCGGCGTTTTCGCTCCTTCAGCTTCAAGCTTTTCTCGGCGACCACTCTCCACTGCAACCATGAGTAAGTCTTCTATGTTTTAATTTTATATTTGCGTGCATTTATTTTGCCAATTTTTCGATTTTCCCTGTTGCTTCTGCTTTTACCCAAATCCTTCTCGTCTCGCCTGCGACGTAAACCTCCTTCTTTGCTTTCAAAAACCCTAACTCCTTTTCTCTTCTTCTCACTTTTTCGTTCTACTTTTCAGATTCCGCTGATTCTAACGCACCCAGCCATCACTCTGTCGAAGATGAGATCGCCATATCATCCTTCCCCACTCCTCAGCCTATTCCTCACTCGCCTTCCCGATCCGTCGAAGAAATCTACAATCCCACTCCTATAAGTGTTCTACCTCCTCCCGATTACGCCATACCTCCTCCTCCTCGCCAACCTACTCGTCCGATTGAAGGATCAGACGAGGATGCACTCGACCATGTCCCCCTTAGCCGTCGTCGGCCAGCGTTCGGGGCCTCTGACGCCGCTAAGGCAGCTCTCGACGCTGCTGAGGCAGCCATGGAGAGGGAAGAAGATGATGTCCCCCTCTCCCAGCACTCCGTTTTTGCCCACGTTGTCTCCTCGAGTATGTCGAAACGAAATGCCCCTTCGAGCTCTCCTGCTTCGCAAACCCGCTCCGGTCCTACTACCGCGCCTTCTAAGCCGGCCAAGAAGAGAAAGCTAGTCAAAGCCTCCTTCCCTAACCAGACCTCTTCTCGCTCCCTCGTCGCTGGTTGGCTGGACACCAATGAGGTTGGTCATCCAACAAAATGGGCTTTCGTGTCCCCTGGTCCCAAGGATACGTATGCCTGCCCCCCTAAGGGTTGTTATACTTTTTTCGAGGTTCATTTTAAACTTGGTATCCGCTTTCCTCTATGCCAAGATTTGCTCGACATCTGCCAATGGTTCGAACTGCCTTTGAACCAGCTTCCTCCTAACGCCATCCGGTTCATTACCATCTTCATCATCCTTTGTCATGTCCGCCTAGGTCGGCTCGACCTCGACTTCTTTCACTATTGCTACCCCCCTTCGAAACACGCACAAGGACTTTACCTCAAAAGCCGTGCTGATGTCCACTTCATTTCGGACACCCCCTCAAATGTCCCTAGGTGGAAAGATAAATTTGTCTTTGTTGAACCTGACCCTGCTTTCCCTTGGGAGCCAACTCCGTGGCTCAAGGAGCTCAAGCGCGATTATGTGGCACCTTCTCAGAGCGCCCTTTTCGACCAACGGATCGCTGTGTGGAACACGAAGCCCGTTGCGTCGAAAATTCTGCTCGAGGATGACAACCTCTTGCATTTCTGTGGCCTCCTTACTCATAAATCACTTCTTCCGCCCTCTCAAAAAATTCTCGATCTCATTCAAATTACAGACGATCCAGGTATTTTTAATTTTATTGAATGCACCTGAGCATTACAGTGCCATTATTCCATATATGATTTACCTGTTGTAGCTCTAACTTGTTCGTGGTTCCTAACAGAGATGCCTACTATCTCTGTGCCTAAGAGGAGTGCTCCTTTGAAGAGGAAGCACCTTGGCGAGAGGTCGAGCTCGAAACCTGCTGACTCGACCGCCTCCGAGTCTGCCCGATCGACCTCGCCGCCCCCGGAAGTGACCGTTGAGCAGCCTTCTTCGACCAACCCCCCAGCGGGCCAGCGGCCCGAGCAGCTCGAGCAGCCCGAGCAGCCAACACAGCTCGACAAATCGGCTTCTCCCCTGCCGCGTTCACCTCCACATGACCAGATTACCCCAGTCATTCATATCCCCGCCTCTCCCGAGAGGACTCTGCTCGAGGAGAGTCAACCGAAGCGGTCTCTTGCTGAGGGGGATGAAAGTATCATCAAGCGTAGTCGTGTCGAGGAGACCGCCCTCTCAATTACCACGCTCGACGGTCCCAGGTTCTCGCATTACCTCAGGGATGTTCTTCCCCCTGTCGACCGTCCCACTGACCGCTATAACGACGGTCACACCCTTCAAGATCGAGGCCATCGGCTTGCCCGCTGGCTGGCTCAGGTAACCTACCGTCACCTGACACTTATCTATTTTATTCCCTTTCTTCTTCTCGTTAGTGTTCTAACACTTTCTTTTATGCTTGTAAATCTCTCCTAGGAATTCCGTCCGCCATAGCCACCGAGCTTCAGAAATCTCAGCACACCACTTTTCGAACGAAAGTCCCCACAGACGGCGCCAAATGGTAACGCAAAACACTCCGACCGGCTTGAAATCAGTTTGCCTCTTTCTTCCTCGCCGGTAGAACGCCGCGCTCCTGCACAGAACTCTCACACCGGAGGGGTTTTCTGGTGAAGAGCCTCAGATGCTTAAGTCAGTATGTGTTTGTCCAATTTTCCAAAGTAAAGAATGGATAAATCGTAGGTTACAACAAAAGACACACTCTCATATATATAGGAGTGAGATACCTGCCCTAGAAACTGCCCGGCTTTTGGTGAGCTGTCCTGCCCGTACTGCCCGTCCGTACACACATAGTGTGTGTGTGTCAGAGATGTCAGGGGTGGTTTTCGCCACTATCACTCTGCACCAATATATTCTTGCCACGTGCCCTTCTGAGCTGAGGGGGATTATTCTTCTGCGCAGACCGTTGGGATCTTCTAACGTCATCTACGCGCTTTCTCGCGTTCAAGCCACGCTCTAGACCGCTCTTCACCTGTTGAGTGCTCGATCTCCTCCCTTTTGGTCGATCCTCGATCTGTTCTGTTATTCTGCTCGATCTCCTCCCCTCTGGTCGATCCTCAACCAATTCTGCCACTCTGCTCGATCTCCTCACTTTTGGTTGATCCTCGACCGGTACCGCTATTCTGCTTGATCTCCTCCCTTTTGGTCGATCATCCTTCTCCCAATCCGGTTTTCTCCACTCCGAGGTTGCTCGACCGATGATGCAAACCGGTCTATTCTCAGCTATATAATATCCCATATCAGTATAATTATAATGAAAATATCAAAATAAAAAACACTCATCTAAACTGGTATTTCAATTAAACATTTAAAATATTTAGATACAATAACTATATGTGTCTATAAAACTACGCTTTTGAATGCCCAAACAATTATGATATTATAAATATTATATCATCTTGGAACTTCATTTTTACAAAGCACTAAATAATATAACGAGAATTCTTAAAATATTTAAAAATTTAATATTTAGTTTATTTAGATAATACTAGTGCGTGGCCCGTGCGATGCACGGGTAACAATATTACAATTTTATTATAAAACTAAATATATAAATAACATTAATCATGATTTATCCATTGTTTTTAAATTTAACCGGATTGGATACTGTAACACCCCGCTTATCAGAGTAACTTTTTCGCAACTTTTACTTCAAAAATACTTATAACTCTTTCGAAATCTTTTGCGAATAACTCGGGATGCTACTCAACCTTATCTTCTTGAAAATTCGTTTATCTTTAAACTTTGTCTAATACTTCTTTTAGACATAAAGAAACAGATTTCCTTTAAACCTGCATTTAACTATACCATATTCATACTTCTCGAAATGGTAAAAACTAAAAATCATAAATTTATTAAAATGCAAGTTCAATACTTAAAGTGCATAGCGGAAATAATTGAAAGCATAGTTTATTATACAAACATATCAAATACTTCATAAATGTCCATTGCATGAAATGCACGACCACCACCACCACTTTTCGAGCTCACACCTCCGGCCCGACCCTGTTACCTGAAAAACATAATGGGGGTGAGTACTGATCCTCTTGTACCCCGAAAACACCCATACTAAAGTAAACAGCAATAATAATACAATATCATGATCTCCGGTATATAACTGGACTTAAAATCTTTTCCAGTAACTTAAACTTCAGCTGGCCGATATCTGATCGGATACTTGTGCACAATCTAATGGATATTTCTCAAGGCAACTCAAACGGCCTCCATTAAAACTTAGGACACTCTGAGACAACTAAATGCCTCCTCATCCCAAGCGTATAAACTTAAACTTTTACATACCTCGGACATGATACCAATATTATACTCAATGTAATACCCAATCTGGGTCCCCAGCTTTCGTCTTTTGAAAAATCGTAAGTGTTGTTCTCGAGTAGCAAACTCCTCAAGCTACATAAAAATATATAAACAAATATACTAAGTACTATGCTCGTATACTCAATAAGATGCTCGTATTCTCAATTCTTTAGGATAACTCATCCAAATCTTATAGAAATTTCAATAGTCATACTTTTTCTCAAATTAACTTTTCTTGAACTTTTACTCAATCTATTACTTAACTCATCATATATCATATTCCCCAAATCTTAGATAATTGCTTATAATCATTTTTCACTTATATAACTTGAAAGTGAAAATAAACTCAAGCATACTCATCTTTTAATCATAACATTTAATCATGATATTAATATGTCATACTTAATACACTTTTTATAAAATTGTATACTCAATATATTAAACTAAAACTTTGTCAAATTGCTCATCACTTATATGAGAATTGATCATAAAAATCTCAAATTAACAACTTGAACATATCATGAATATCTTGCATATATACTCATCTTTACATATATGCTATCTTGTCATCTTAACTCATTCATTTCTCATCTTCAAATCATGAAATTTAACAGTCATAATCTCAACTCATAATTAGACATGTCATAAAAATTTCATAATTTTAGCATGCATATACATCAAGTTATTAGAATTTAAAGTCATAGTGAACATAAAGTTCATCTTGCATGTTCATCTTCAAAAATTCATAACTTAAGTTATACTATGCCAAATAACTTAATTCTTGTTCTCATGTACTCCTCTTTTACATAAGAATTACTTATGCAAATCATACGTTTCCAGCTTATTCATATCTTTATGAAAATCTCATGCAATCCAACATCTTATCACATCAAGTACATATATCATATAATTGATCTTTAACAACTTCAACTCTTTGTATCAATTATAAACTCAACTTCTAAATCATGATATACATACTCATAAACATGTAAACTCATCATCAAAGCATGAACTTAAGTATGAAACTTTAAGATAAGTAAATTACCTCCTTCTTGCTAGAGTAAAAACTTGATTCTTTGCTTCAAATTTCTTCACTTCTCCACAATTTCTACTACTTATCTCTCTTACACTCTTATATAACTTTTGGTATATATCTTTGGTGTAAGAACTCTGATTTTTAGGCCTCTATTTATAGGCACAAATTGGCAAGACATCATAATGTAGTGATGAAATGAACAAAATAAACAATTTAAACTTATAAACTTAATTAATCATAAACTATTTTATGATTAACTTGTATTCTTATCAAAACATAGTTAATCATCAAAAATTGCCTCTGGTTGAGATCAGAATCGGATTTCCAATGATCAAACCTTACTGTCGGCAACACGACTCGTGTGGCTCCACACGACTCGTGTGGCTTGTCACACGACTCGTGTGAAAAAACGGAGGCTAACTTTCATCATCTCCTCTTCCCACACGACTCGTGTACCTTGTCACACGACTCGTGGCTTGTTTCCTTGAAAAACTCTTAATTTCGAACCGATAATTGACTATCTTGGCCTCGAAATTACTTAATTCTTGGAACAATAACTGAAACATCATTAATAACTGAGAGGGATATTACAGACATAGTCCGATCGGATGGACCGAGAACCGGTTTATAACCAGTCTAGTTCGCTTGAATAAAATATTTGTTCTCGAATCCGTCAACACTAGTCGGTTGGACTGGTACGATCGATACGATTTTCTAAATAAATTTTGTTATATTTAAAATTATTTTAAATTAAATTACATATTTAAATAAAATAGAGATTTAAAAATTATTTATCAATTAGTTTAAACATTTAAATTTATAAATTATTTAGATATCTAAGTAACACATTTTATTTAAATTTATTACAAAAAGTACTATATATATATATGTATCTATTAAAATGTTTATAAATTAAAATATGAACAAACCATAAATTATTTAATGAAATAGTTTGATCATTTCGATGACGATCCAATTCTGAAAACCTTATATTTACTGTACATTAATAAATATTATAATAAAATTAATATAACTTACATAAATATTGATAAAATGATATATAAATATTCATAAATCATTAAAGATGTTGTCATAAAAGTATTGTTAATACGATTATGTGAATTTTGGACTACATCACATTCACGTAATAAAATATTTTCAATATAAAATTTATATTTCAGTTCAATAATCAATTTGGTGTGGTTGAACTGATACATAACTTAGTCATCTGGGACCAACCAAGTTGTGTCAAGTTTTTTGACTATTTTAAATATCACCTAGAAGTAATTCAATCAACCTAGGCAGTACCCTTATTCAATCACCCGATTGATCTGAAGAAATTTTTTTATTTTCTTTAGATATATTTAATTTTATGAAATAAAATATTTTATGATTCATATAATAAATGTCTACATCAAATGATAGTATATTGAGATTATAAATTATATATCTAAAGAGAAATTAATTATTTTTACTTTATGCATATTAATAAAAAATAAACATAGTAATTTTCAAAAAATGAAGATTAATTAATTTATTATGCAATTTAAAGAATATTTTTAGCGTTCAATATTTTTTTAAAGGCACAAATATAAAGACTGAGATTTTAAAACTTTTGTTATATCTTGAATTGAGATTTTAAAATATAGAGATCGAGATTTTAATGTTGTTCGTTGTTTCTAAAAAATAAATAAAAATTAAAACATACACACTTAATAAAACATTCACACTTAATAAAAATTATAAAATTAACTAATGCCCGAAATTTAAGGTAGTATTTAATGCTGTATGATTTTTAAAGAAAAAAATAAGAAAATAATTAATTTACTATTTATAGGCTGCATTAAATTCTGACCTATTTTTTTGCTACTATTTTTAGTAAATGGTAATTCTTATTATATAAATATATAAATTAAGATTTTTAAATAATTTTTTGATTTTGTAAATTAATTTGAAGTAAGAGTCTCATGCTGAGAGTACCTGTTCTACATTTCAAAACATACTTCCTAGAGAATCAACAATTCAATTTATTGTTGCCGTATAAATTTAACATGTAAACAAAACTAAAGATAACAAGCTTGGATTATTAGGTCCATAATAATAAATCAAATATTGAAAGTAAAACTAGCTACAAGTCTACAACCCCTCCACTCAAGCATGTAGCCTTTTACATGGTCAAACCTAAAAGAAACTGTAGGTGAATGATCGAAACCGAAAATTATGCGTATCTACACATTTCTTTAGTGTAAAATTCATTCATATACAAGTAATGCAAATCAAAATATAACCACAAATTACCTTCAAACTTATCATTACAATTCTCAATTTTAGCATCATTGACGCCTCCATCTTGAGCACAAGCCGCACAACCAAGAAAAAATCAATGGAATTTCGACTATATTTCTCAAACTTGACATAATTAAGCATATATATTTCTTCTTTTAATAACATAAAAATCCTGCAAAAAAGAGTGTCATGAAGCTTCTGTTGTCGTTGCAGAAGCACTTCTCTTCAGAAAATCAAGTGTCCCTTGTTTGAGTTTGGTCCCCTTAGCAAGAGCTACAAAGATAGTAAAAATCATGTGATTGCCATTACTCATCAAGATTGGAACCCATAAGTGAAAATTCTTTAAGGGTCAAGAAATTAAGTAATTATACTACATACCATCTGTTCTGTTGAGTTTATTACTTTTCAGAACAGCAGATTTCCATTCATCATGGTCTTGCTTCTCCATTTGCTTGCGTTTTTTATAAGGTGAAGGCTGGAGTATATATTAAGTTACTATTAGTGTCAAGAATGATAATGCGTGCTGCAAAAACATGTTTCAGACAAATACATCCAGAATTCAACTGTTTTGAAATTTCTTGGACTTGACATTCAAGTTTCAGTCAGTTTGTATTAACCATTTTGTAGTCACAATTTTGCCTCACAAAATGACTTGTCTGGTCTAGAAAAGGATATATCTTTGCATTTGTCATGTATAAACAAAGTTTCATATCCGAAGCATACAAAATGAGATTATATTACCTCATCATCATCAAAACAGCTACCATCCTCAAGTCTCCTTTTTTCAGGCAATACATCAAGAAGCTCTGCACATGAATATCCATCAATTAATATTGCTGGCAATAGCAATTAATTATAATGAGCATAAACATCTAAAATTTCTGCAACCTTCTCAATTGACATGTAAAATACCATTGAACAACTAAGACTAAGCCCGTGTACTAATTCTGGATAACACTTGGCACAATAAAAAATTGATATTTCAAGTATGTAAATATGTAATGAAAAGTGGCATCATTACCTCGGTTTCCCTTGATTTTTTTAGGATCCTTCTTCTCTTTTGCTATTCCAAAAGCATCAAAGCATAGATCCATCATTGATGTTGATACCTGAAATTACACTAAATTAGTACTAGACATAAAAGGGTTTTCTACTTTCGCAAACCATATAAGCCATTGTGTATAATATATATACTTGCATTAGAAAATTCTGATTCTGAGGTGCCAGCTAGCTCAATTGACTTAAGTTTATCAACCTTGAGCTGCAAAACAAAATAAATTATACATTACATCAATAATACAGCCAATAAATACTCTAACTGAATTACCAAGTGAATTAATAGAGACTAGTTCCAATTGAACAACTTTCTCACCTTATGTTTTTTGGCACAAAGGTAAAATGCTACAGCAGTGAAAACTGGCCTGCTGAAATCTGTGCCATTTCTACGCGAAGGAGGCAATGAAGCAAGAAATCTTTCTTTATACCTATAAATACAAGAACTAAAATTGTAAATTTAATAAAGAAAAAAAAGTGAACTACTGATTCATTGGATATCCCAGCCCTCTATAACATCTTACATTTTACTATAATTACACACCACACACAAGATGGTGTTATAATTGAAAACAAAGAAGGTATATCATTCATTTGAACAAATTTGAACACCAGGTATGATAACATCTAGACAAAGCATTCAAACATAACTACCATACAACAACCATTGTGGAAATATCTGATCGAATTTAACATAGTACAATATTAAATTTATTAATTACATGTTTGTAAGGGGATTCAATCTGAAGTCCCAATTCATATTCATAAGCAGCCCAGAATTGATCCCAGCATTCAATTGAGGGCTGAATACTTACAAAGACATGCCTTTGTGCACAAAAGGGATGAGCCTTACACACCCAAATTGAATGGCCAATTCTCTTATATCAAGCTTATTCCTAACAAAAATTGATCAAAAGAAAGATAAGTACAGAATACCAAGGACATTGACAGTTTTTAGGTGCGTGTGTGTGTGAAAACATGAAACAAAACAAAAGAGAGAGAGAGAGAGAGAGAGAGAGAGAGAGAGAGAGAGAGAAAGAGAGAATTAGTCCTGACTTGAGACCAATGCCATTCTGCATTGAGTTGAAGGACCTATTGTAAGCTTTTTCGGACACCCCACTCAATCTTATTGCAGCTTGCCGATCAAATATAACATCCATCCTAATCCGATAAAATTCATCAAAATAAATTCAGACCCAAAATTTAAAACCGAATGACCAAACACCAAAAAAAAACACAAAAGGAAAACGAATGCGCGAGGAATAAAATAAGTACCTAGAAGCAGCAATCTCCAGGCAAATTACGGCCTTGCAAACTTCACCCTGATAATCAATCAACAAAAACAAATCGACTCATGTGACAATAGAAAAATTATAGTACAGCAAACTGGTTGGTTTATATAGATCTGTAAAACGTACAACGCCGATTACGGAGGAATCAAACTGTATATCGGCAAGGCGGCGAAGCTCAGCTGCCTTACGTATGAGGTGTTTGGATTCAGAAAGGCCCAACTTCTTGGCTATCTCTGACATGTCCATTTCTTCGACAGATTGAATTTTTTGACCCACTGTTTCTTTTTTGTGTTCTTCGGAGAAAGGAAAACTGGTGTGGTGTGCGTGTTGAGTGGGTGTTTGGGAGTTGGGACATAGAAACATTATTTGAAGAAAGATTAATGGCGGGACTGTGGATTCTTGCGGGAAAATTTTGGATGTCGCGCGCGGTGAAAAATGGAGGTAATCGTTTTTGGTTTCCCGCATGTGTTACTGAGAAGCGCTGAGATTATGATTGTCCAACGGACTCAATGACTTTTCTAGTCTACAATTGACATTCGTCCACCAAATGTTGGTTGAACATTGAACCAATTTTAATTTATTACTTTTTAAATAAAAATAATATTTTAAATAAAATTTTTACATAATTTAAATATTTAAATACATAATATACATATTGCTCCAGATTAGGGATGGTTGTTATGTCACATGTGGTCACGAACGAATTGAACACTTCCCAACGATCATCCTTCTTGAGCGTCCGGTAACCTGCAATACGCCGAGGAGGGGGTCACGGCGGAAAACTCTCCGACGTTCAAGTCAGAAATCGCTCAATCGTATACTGTAAAAATATATCAAATTATGGTCTCTATTGTAGCCTATAAATACATCAAGTCTCACACCACACACTTATGCCATTTGAATTTTTTTTCTTTCATAACGATAGGAAATTCTCATATAACCGAAAATGATAGTCCAAATACAATGAGAGCAAACACCCTAATACCGAAGGCTAAGCCAGAGAGCACTACTAAAGATAGTAGGCTAGAATACAAATAGAGAACAATAACACCAAAGGCAGTGAGAATAAACTGAGACCTCTAGTGTCCAAACAAAAGACAGATACAACTCAACAATAATAATGAAGATAAATAAAACAAGCCACTGAACTGATTACTCAGACCTAGCTATGCTTCCTTTTCTTCTGGTAATACGTTTGTTGCCAAGTTTAACTGCCTCTTGCCATTCATCCCAAGCACCTGCTAAAATGCATTTCTCTGATCTCCAAGCTCTCTCAAATATCCAGAGCCACCACAAGATGTATGTGGTGAGCTCTATCCTAGCCTCATCAACTGCACTCTGTTTGATTGAGCAGATTGAACCCCACCAGTCTATGAACTTGTAGCCATTTGTGTTAATGCCATCCCATGTCACCCGAGATTTCTGCCAGACTTTTTGTGCTCTCGGGCATTCAAAGAAGACATGCTCAGCAGTTTCTGCTTTCTCCCCATAGCAACAACAGATGACATCAACATCTATCCCTCTACTCATCAGGTTTGTGTTGACAGGAAGTATATCAGAGGTACATTTCCACAAGAAGTGCTTCAGTTTGCTTTTGATGTTAAGCTTCCAGGTTCTGAGTCTAACTTCTTGATTTCTGTTGGAGGTGCTGCTGCCTTCTGGTAGGTCCAAAGCTACGAGTTTTTGTCTATGGAGGAAAGTGTATGAAGAAGCCACAGAGAATTTGCCTTTCTCCCCCATTTTCCAGTTCCACTTGTCATCAGAGTTTAAGTCCAGTGTTTGTATGTTGAGGATTTCCTTGCAGTCAGCTTCTTCAATCAGTTCTCTGATTCTAGTTTCATTCCACTGTCCACTGTCCATTGAAATAAGTTCCTGTACCCAAAGATTCCCATTTTCAATAGGATCATACAGCTTTGGACCTCTGCCTCTGATACTAGGGATCCAGTTGAAGTCTTGAAGTCTGACAGTACTCCCATTTCTGATCTCAATCTGTAGACCTTCCTTTAACAGCCCTCTCACTTTCCACAAGCACTTCCAGAGCCACGAAGAGCTCTGTTTCAGGTCAGTATCAAACAGAGAATTTTTGGGAAAGTACCTGCTTTTAATTATTTTGCTCATGAGAAGGTGAGGTTGAGTGATTGTTCTCCAGAGCTGCTTGACCAACAGGGCTTCATTAAAGAGTCTGACATCCCTGAAGCCTAAGCCACCCTGCTTCTTAGTGAGTGTCAGCAGCTCCCATCTCTTCCAGTGCAGTCCTCTTGAATGCTCAGCCCCCTTACTCCACCAGAAAGTGGCAAAAAGACTTGAAACTTCTTTGCAAATACTAATGGGAAGTTTGAAACAGGACATGACAAATAGTGGCAGAGCTGTGAGGACAGCTTTGATTAGGACCTCCTTGCCAGCTGTGGAGTGATGCTTATTTTCCAGCTGTTAAATCTTTTATGGACAGCTTCAGTCGCAAAGCTAAAAAATTCTCTCTTGGATTGCCCAATGCCTAATGGCAATCCCAAGTATCTTGTTGATTTCTGCATTTGGATACCTGGGAACACTTGGCACACTTCATTTTGAGCTGTCATGCTTGTGTTCTTGCTGAAAAATACTGAAGATTTGGCAACATTCACCTTTTGGCCAGAGAATCTTTGGTATCTGGTAAGTATAGATTGAAGCACTTGAGCCTGGTATCTGTCAGCCTTACAAAAGATCAATGAGTCATCTGCAAACAATAAATGTGTGAGGATAGGAGCTCCTCTAGCCACAGAAACACCTCTGAAAAGCCCTCTCTCTTTTTCAGCAGTTATCACAGCAGATAGGACTTCTGATACTATAATAAATAGGTAGGGAGACAGAGGATCTCCCTGCCTAGTCCCTCCTTCAGCAGAAATATAAGCACTTGTGCAGCCATTAATAATGAAAGAATAAGAGACTGTGGTCACACACTCCATAACCCAGTGCACAAAATGAAGAGCAAAACCCATTTTAAGCATAGTAAGTCTGATACACTTCCACTCTATTCTGTCAAAAGCCTTCATCATATCTAGTCTGATACACTTCCATTTGAAATTTTTAGTCGTCCATAAGAGTGAAAAATCGACTTTCATATATAAGGAGGTTTCGAGAGTTTCGTTTAGTCGCACTACCAAGACTATTCGAAGTAGGTGTAGAGGTAATATATAAGAAGATCATAAGGTTTAGTTTTTCATCCCGACGAATTTATTCATCACCGGGAACACGACGCAACCAGCCCTCGGCTATCGGCAACAATCCCCGGCGAGACCTGTGCGCACGCCCTGCTCTAAGGACCACGACCGCGCACATCCCGGCGACATCCTCATGTAGGCCTATGAAGTTCTCCATGGCATCCTCGCGACGCGCAGCACGTTCAAAGTGAGCTTCGACCGGAGACGACGTGCAAACATGCAAGAACCTCAGTGGGACCTGTGAAGTTCTCGACAGCACCCACGATCCTACTCGCAGCACCCGACGCGCATCGACCTGCTCCCAGCGCCCGACGCGCTATGTTTGCTTGTAGCACCCGACGTGCGATGACCGTTCCCAGCTCATTTCATGTGAGGCCGACACACCCGCACCCAGACCACATATGACCCAGCAATCCTGAGGTCCGATTCGAAAATCTTGAAGATAGTCTGGCAGCCCAACGGACTTTGAGATTCAAACGATCTCCATTAGCGGAAATAAAAAACGTCTCAGAGTCGAAAAAAAAAAAAAATCTAACTGTAAGTCCTAGTCCTAACTATATATTCCGTTGCATTATATTTAATTTTTTAGATCCGGATATGCATATCTGTGACATTCCTAATAGAACCCAACAAAAGGCTCCTGATGAAACGGAAGTCTCTTAAAACATGAAGTACAATCTCGCTCTCACCACAAAAGTCACACTCAGTGGAGTTGGAAATATGCCCCCGATAATGCTCCGAATTAGTGAGTAATCGTCTTTCCCAGCGAGCCATAACAAATTACGTACTCGTTGCGGCACCATTGTCCACTAGATTATCTTCCAAAGGTTCATATAAGGATCTTTTTCGGGTCTAAGAGCAAGTTGTAAGCTATCCACATCGAGAATATTCTGTCGGTGGACAAGCCCCAAATGATCCGATCATCTTCAGTCATTGTTCTCGGAGGTATGGTGACACCAATACGGAGAAGAAAATAGGTGGGGAAGAGATCTTGAAAGAAGTGCCACTTCCAATCATCATTCTTATCCACTAACGCCACTATTTTCTTCGATAAAACCTTCTCTTGCAAGTGTTTTGTTGCAAAGTTGATCAAAGGTCTAGTCGTCCCTAGCCATTGGTCGAGCCAAAATTGTGCCTTTACACCGTTATCAATGATCCATCTCACGCCTTGTATCACATGGGGCCAAACCTTGTTAATTGCTCACATTAAAGATGAGCTTTGCTGGCAAAAAAGACTCTTTGAAGCTATCGAGGGCTTAATAACGTACTTAGCCATAAGGACCCGCGCCCAAAGTGAATCTTGTTTCTTCAAAAGGCCCCAACCCAGTTTCATCAAAAGTGTGTTATTCATATGCCAAAGATTTTTAATGCCCAGCCCTCCCTTAGACTTTGATCAACACACGTCATTCCTAGCAACGTGAATCTTTCTTTTTTCTTCGAACCCACCCCACACAAAAGTGCGACATCTTTTTTCAATGCCCTTAGTAATTGAAAAATGTAACATGGCGGATTGCATAGCATAAAAAGGAAGTGTGCTAAGAACAAATTGAGTGAGAGTCACTCTACCAGCCAAAGAAAACGATTTCATGCGCCAACCAGATATCCTCGATTCCACTTTCTCCAGAATATGCGCATACGTACTCCTAGTTACGTGCCCATGGACCACAGGTATTCCAAGGTACTTGCCTAAATTTTCTATCAATTTGAAGTTTAGCTGGTTGCTAGTCTGGAGTGTTCTTAAACATGCACATTATTGGAGAAAAACAACTGCGTCTTTTCCGAACTTATTTTGAGCCTCGAAGGTTCGCAGAAAAGGTTCAGGATATGTTTAAGAACTAGAACCTGCTCGTCTAAGGCCTCCAAAAAAAGTACCAGGTCATCCGCAAACATTAAGAACGGTATAGTGACCGCCCCTCTCCCAACAGATATAGGGTGCCACCTCCCCTCCTCGACCGCCTTGCAAATAATTTGTGCCAACCTTTCCATGCACAAGATGAATAAATAAAAGGAAATGTGATCGCCCTGATGGACCCCTCTAGTAGGCTGAAATTCCTCACAAATCCCCTCATTCCACAAAAGACTCATGGAAGCCGACTAAACACTCGCCATTACGCTGACAATCAACTTGACAGGGAATCCAGCTAGACTTAGAGTTTCTTAAATGAAGTCCCACCAGAGATAGTCGTTTGCCTTATCCAAATCAACTTTGATTAGCATGTATCCCTTTTTCTCTCGTCGATGTCACATAGAGTGAACCATCTCTTGTTCAACAA